TGTGTATGAATGTATGTTCGTCTTTCTCTGTGTGTGTTTATAAGGTGTTCTAAAAGAAACCTTTCAAAAGTAAATGTGATGCTTGGTCATTTGGACAATGAATCGGGGCGAGAATTCTTCAGTACTTTCACGTGCATGTGTGCATGGCTATTAGTGTGTGTGTGTGTGTGGGGGGTTACTTGTTGGAATTTGCATGCATTGGGCGATTTTCTTTCAATGTCATGTCTTGTATATGGAGTATACATTGCATATTATTTGAATAAATTTTTGCCGCTGGCAATAAAATCTGAGAAGTGGTTGTTTTGTTTGAGTGGGGACCAATCGCCTTCTTTGTGAAAATGTAATCAGGAGGCAAGGGAGTCACAAAGTGAAAATATGAAATGGCAAGAACAAATGGAGAGGAAGTAAAGGGCGCTAAAGAGAGGGCGAATGACTGAATTAATGAAATGTGGATCAGAGTGGTGAAAATGAAGAGGACAAAAGAACGAAGAAATAACGCAGGATATCTATCTATCTATCTATCTATCTATAATAACATATGAATGTTATAACATCACTACAAAAATTTTGCCATTTTGTTTCAACACTTCTGGTGTCTTGTCAAGTGATGGTGTTGATTGCAAAATAAAGAGTTATAAGAGTTCAAAACCAACCAAATCCACTTAATAGGGGAAACATTGTTACGTAACTTATGATGACTAATCAGAATAGAAGTATATGATAATTAAAAAAACGTGAAAACAGACCCTAAATACAATCTATTAGTGCATTAAGGTTAAGATTAGATTAAATTAGAAAGCAATATAACTAATTAAGTTATTAAGTTTTAATTTTATAATAAAATTAAAAATAACTGTATTTGTATATATATATATATATATTTATCAATAAAAATAATATAAGATTTATATGTCTGCGAGCTTTCGGCTGTTCTTTTAGCCATTGTCAAGGATCTTTTTTATTTTTCATTCTAACTGAACGAACATGCCATAACACTAGATACACACATAAAAACAACACTGGACATTTTGGGCAACGTTGCCAAACCTCCAAGTTGTAGTTCGCCGTACAAATAAATGTCTATTGTTTTCATGTCGAAGTATAGTTGTGTTTTCGACAAGTATTTTACGGAATTGTGTATCGAAAACACAACTATACTTCGACATGAAAACAATAGACAAAAACTAAAAATACTTGAAGCATTATACATCAAACAGTTAAAACCCAACCTAAACAAAATCAACTATGGAATCTCTACAAATATTCTTAAATGTCTATAATTTCTATAATTGGTAACAGAAGCCATTGGTTTATACCAACGGCTTTCCTTATTTCATTCTACAATTCACTCTCGTGTAGTCATGTGTGACGTCATGAGATGCGGTGCGATTTTCGCTTCTAGCGTCTTATATGCGCGTGTTCATCGTTGCTTAGTGATCCACTATGTAAACAAAACAATGGCAGACTATCATCACTGTCGTGTCCGTATATTGTTTGATATGTTTGTAATTACATCTTTGATAATGGCTTGAGTAAGCCGAAAGCTTAGATTTTATTAAAAAATAATGGATAAATATTGTGAATTTCTTTTTTCGGTTAATGATAATGTTACCAAACTTATCAGAAGATACGAAAAAATTTTACATAAAATAAATAGACAACACTTGTCTATATTATTTAATGAAACGTGTATAAATGAAAATATGCTGCCTAAATACACACAATATATATATATATATATATATATATATATATATATATACCATACGTCAATAAAATCCTCATTACCCCATAGTTGAACACTTTAATTAATCAGGACACTCATTAGAAAACTGTAAATGTTTATTGATAGATTCTGATTTCAGTTCCAAATACACACACAGAAAAAAAGAAAAATACTGGATTTTAAAATTAAATACATATAAACTAGGGTTAAATAAAGATTTGGATATTTTAAATCTTTATAAATATTTCAATAGTTAAACATTTTTTTAGATATAGTTAGAAAATATTTTTAAACAACATCTAAAATATTATTATAGTTAGATTTACTTTAAAAATATTCGAACACAGTGGCATTCCATATCACGTGACGTCCGCATCTCGCGTCGGACGCGACTTGTAAACAAACCTCTAAAAACAGTTATTTCTGAAGAAAGATCGAGGTCGATCTGAAATATCAAAACTACATATATATATAAATAAATATAAAAAATCTATATAAAAAATATAAATAAATACTTTCATAAAAAACATTATTTTTTTAATTTGCAACTTTTTAGTTGTTTTATATATATATATATATATAAAACAACTAAAAAGTTGCAAATTAAAAAAATAATGTTTTTTATGAAAGTATTTATGCTCCCCCTAGTGTAGGATCGTTAATTAATCTGAAACTTTTAAAACCATTTATTTTCTTTTCAACACCATCACTTGATAAGACACAGAGTGTGTTGAAACAAAATGGCTATTTTTGTAGTGATTTTATAACATACTTATGTTATAAATTTTTTTATAAAAATAATTATATATATATATATATATATATATATATATATATATACACAAGAATTAATCACACATAGAATTAATCAGTAGTATCAATGCGATTATTGGCGACATCCGTCACTAGAAAACATAATATATGCATTAAAATCCTGTTCATCCATAGTGCGAGTTTTGATCCTTGAAGAAAAACTTGTTGTCTGTAGTTTTTCAGTTTATTCGATGTTAAAATGCTAGTACTTACGGACGGTCTTCCATCCATCATCAGGCATGTGTTTTTTTCTTATAAAATCAAAAACTTGAGACGATATATCTGTATGTCGACCGAAAGATGTTTTTTGAATATCTGCTATTATTGACGGTTGTAAGATATCGGAACGTGCAAAGACGCAACGCTAAGTTTTTCAAAATTTTTAAGTGAGAATTTTATTTAAATATTTCTTGTGATGTGTTAAATCCACGTATTCTATTTTTACAAGTGTATTCAGTTTTGATGTCATGAACTAAGTATATAGTTCAATAATATAGTGTAATGTCATAATAGTAATTTTTTTTATAGGAATTTTTTTTATAGGAATTATATATATATATTTAGTTTATGAAAAATTAGGTAATCTTTATGGGTAAACCTAAGGAGGATAAAATCCAGAGAGCTCAATGCAGAGCAAATAATTTAAATAAAAACAGACCACTTTAAGTTGCCTGTTTTAATTTAATATATATATATATATATATATATATATATATATATATATATATATATATTTTATGTGTATAATTAAAAAACGAAGTAAGTACAGAAAAAAGGTGAATAGCCGTCCACACCCAAAGAAAGTGAAAGAGAGAGACAGAGAGAGAAAAGAGAGAGAGAGAGATGGGGAGAGAGAGAGAGAAATCGCTAATAAATATTTTCTTGAAACGAGAAAAGAGTTTGTAAATGAAAAAAAACCGATAAAGAAAGAAAGAAAGGTTGAGTTAAGAGAGAAAAAAAACTTTTTTCATCGAGAAATGGAAAGAACCAAAAAAAAAAATGAAAAAAAATGAAACATAAGTGAAGACAAAAAAGAGAGAGAAAAAGGCAATGAGGAAAGACTTAATGAAACGGCAAAAAAAAAAAGAAGGAAAGAAGAAAGGAAGAATTTAAATCTAATAAAAGCAAATGAAAAGATTGCGGAACAACAAGAAAGAAAGAGAACAAATATTAATTGGTAGAAAGAGAGTAAGAATAACAGACTTAACAACAGCAGCAACAAAAACAACAACAAAATGAAAACAAGTAATCGAATAGATAGTAAAATAACAAGATATTTATTTGAACTTACAGACATGTTTGAAATTGTCGTTTGCACAGACTATATTTCGTTCGGGTTGTACTCATTACAGAGCATAAAGTTCCTTGTTAAACTGTAATATCATTTGCATTGATAATGTATAATAAACAAGATATAGTAATATGATAAGTTCACATAATTATGAAATTCAAAGTCGACAACACTTGACAAGCAAGGTCGAATTAATTAGTAACTCTGCGAATAAATGATGGTACTGTTGATTCACTTGAATTATGAGATTCTTATTGTGGGTAGGTTTCATTATAGGCAGGCTGGTGTGAATAACTTTTCTGTCAACTAAGTGGAAATTCTGATTTAACATAATAGGCGCATCAGTTTAGAAAGAAAGAAAGAAAGGAAGAAGGAAAGGAAGTGTAATAGGGAAGATTGAAATCTCTATCTATAAAAAGGCAGGATGTATGTGTGAGTGTAACGAATGCACGGCCGCAATTTTCGACGGGTTTGCACCAAAATTTACATCCACATGTTCCAAGTAAGCAGGAAGGCTCGATGGTGGAAATAATCGATTTTTTCATGCTTCTACGACAGTTTTCATGTAGTTTGCGGCTATTTTGTACTGGCCAGAGTGAGAGCCTATAGCTTGCTGTTACGATTAGGGGAAGATTCTATTGGCCAGCGTGAGAGCCAACAGCTGACTGACACGAATGTTAACTAGCATGCTAGCATGCAAAAAAAATCGATGGCTGCATTCGTCACAAGTGGGAAAAATTTAAATCTGCATGGCACTTTACTCCAATTGGCTCATTTGCTAGCTTAAACTCAACGTTGATTCTGATTCCGCAGAACTGGATTTGGTGTGAAAAAGTATTTGTTATTAACATTCTTTTTTGATTCGGTTTTTCCAGTTACGAGTCCTTTTTTTAAAGCTGATCGTTTTGTGTTCATTTTGTTTAGTTCTTTTTTCATAACAGATTTAATGTTTAGTATAGAGCTTAGAAAAATTCGCATTGTGATATAGGCAAGAAGTAAGGCATGTAGCAACATCAGCATGGCAAAGGGCACTCCTTTAAAGGCAAGGAAGTGCAAAAATATTTTAAGTCAAGTGATAGCGATTGCTGTATGAGTCGTACGATTTTTGAATCAAGCACGGGCAACGCCGGCCCATGCTGCTAGTAGTAAATAAATAGAAATAAATAAATATTATTGGCGTAGAAAGAAAGAAAGAAACGTGTTAAAAATAAAAAAAAAACGAAAAAGAAAGTGTAACTGATTATGAAGAAATGCTAATTCAAAAGAAAAAAAGAAGAAAGTGTAGCAGAATTTAAAGAAATTGTTACGAAATAAAAAGAAAGGAAGCATGAAAGAAAGAAAAAAGAAAGAAAGAAAAACTAAAGAAAGTGTAAGTAGAAAATAAAGAAAGAAAGAATCAAGTGCAACTGAGTATAAGGGAAGTGGTAATGAAAGAGAAAAAGATAGAAAGAAACGAAAACTAAAAAGGTAAATAAATAGAAAGAAAGAAATGTTAATGGAGTCGAAAAAGAAAGAATGTGTAACTAAACTAGGAAAAAGAATGTGTAAGTGATTATACAGAAACTAAATAAGTAGGGTGAAAGAAAGAAAAGGTAACTGAGAAGAGAAGACAGAAAGAAGGAACGAAAGAAAATAGAAAGGAAAAGAAAATAGAAAGGAAAAGAAAGGAAAAAGAAAGAAACGTAAAACGAAAAGATAAATAAAATGGTGAAGAATATAAAATGTTAATGAAGTAGAAAGAAAGAAAGAAAGAAAGAAAGAAAGAAAGAAAGAAAGAAAGAAAGAAAGAAAGTGTAAATTAATATAAAGAAATGATAACGAAATAGAAAAGAAAAATGAAATCTTGCTGCGGAATAGTGGTTAACAAACTTGTCTTGCCGACCATTTCTACTGAAGGGAATTCAATCCTCCCTTGTGTCATTTTGCCCCGCTAAGTCAAATTTAATAAAAAAATAAAAATAAAAACTTAAACTATAAGATCGATGACAAAAGAGAAAATATCACAAGAGAAAATCGTATATAAACATGGCGGGAAAATATTTGATTGAAGAACGAAAGATGTACTGAAATAATTAAGTGTCTCGCTTGCATGAAAATATAAAAAAGGAAAAAGTTGGCACTCGCAAAGACATCACGTTCACACTTGGAACTGAAAAGGAGGCCAGCTGAAATGAAGACTCGTTCATGTTATCGCTAATCATATTGAAGTCTCGCTCACGTATAGGTAATCACATTCGATTTTCACTCACGATGCAGCTAATCACATTCATTTTTGACTGGAGCCCACGAAGCAGACGACATTCATGATAACTTTGGGAAGATCCCCGTGCGTTTTACAGAGGATAAACAGTTCTCTCACGTTTGCTAAACTTGTTTTTATTAAATTTATCAAATGTTTCAGAGAAGAGGTCTATATGTCAAGGGTGAAATGAAAATGATGAAAAGAATGAATTTTGACATTTTCCATTGGTCAGTAACGAAAAAGAATTGAGACTAACATTTGCCTGTCTGGATAGTCATAGAGATTTATTACAAAGATAAATATATATTAAAATAGATTTCAGTAAACTGATCTCTCTCTCACTGTCTCCCACACGCACACACAAGTGCACACACATGCACATGCAGACACACACGTACGTATATCGATACATATTGGTGTTTTGTTATAGAGGTTGGTTTTGTGAGTTAGTCTCACAGATCATATTGTAATTATTATGACCATGACTGGGCACCCCACACATATAGCCTTGAACCAGCCAAAGTTTAGTTTAGAAATTCATTCCAAACACGCAAATACATACGTATAAACATCCATATATATATATATATATATATATATATATATATATATGACAAAGTAGAATGTGTGTGCATGCATATAAATATATTTTTTTCATCCACAGACAGACTGTTTCACTGTATCATAGCTCATCATGTGGCTAGAGGTCCTGTTGCCTCTAGCTAGGATCGAAACCAGGCTGAATTAACGTCAGTCGGCGAATCTACCCCTGAGACGTTGGCGCATCGCAGGGATGAAGGTGAATTTATTTTTAGATAAATGCGCTAGGGACTGAGAGAACTCGATTCGTTTTATCGAAGAGTATTGCATTAGTAGCAGTAGTAGTCACTGTTTACAAACTCTCTCTCTCTCTCTCTCACACACACACACACACACACACACACACACACACACACACACACACATATATATATATATATATATATAAGTCTTCTTAAATAAAATTGACAAGGTATATCTGTTTAATTTTCATTGTTTCTTTATTTTAATTTTCAAATAAGCTATTGTAAATAGAAAATTGTGGGAAACTGTCCAAAATTCATGATCTTGTTCTATTTTGTTCGACTATCTCAGTCATTTTCAGAACTGAATGTTGGCAATAGGGTTGGCAAATTATTTGGGGCTACATCCTGACATGTTTGGTATGCTATATTTCAAATTCAAAGATTCACGTATCATATAAGTGACGTCATGTGAAGAAATTATTCAAAGTGTTTGACAATATTGGAATATCACCACAGAGAACCTTTTTCTGTCTGCCATCCACATGGCTGATGCTAAACTCTAGGAGAGCAACACTCTACGCCTTCCTGGGATCAAATTTTCCACTGACACAAAGTGGAACAACTATACCGAATCAATTATTGTATTATTATTGAACAAACGCGATGCAACCGCCACTTTTACTGTAACAGGTTATTTTCTAGAGATGCCCGTGAAAATTTGACGCTTTCCTATTTGAATTTTATGATGAATCTTAAATCTAAAACTAATGATTGAATAATCTCATGGCGTGTTCTACGACAATGAAATATTCGTAGAAATTCTCTAATTGCATCGTTAAATACTTGCGCTGAACAACTTTAACAAAATACTGCAATTACAATCACAAATATGAATACTGGTCGTCATGTTCAGAAGTACTGGGGTACAAATGAAAAGATATGAAATTGGCAACTTTTTTTATTTCACTGAAACAGATGCTTCTTTCTTTCTTTCTTTCTTTCTTTCTTTCTTTCTTTCTAGCTTCTCTGATATTTCTTTTGCTTCTTTCCACGCGATCAAAACGGAATAATCCATTATTTATGAGATATTGACAGGAAGACAGTAGATAGCGATTGACACTGCATTTCAATTTTTGAAGATTTTGAGCTGGAAAGTATGAAGCCGAAAGGAAATTCCAGAATCGAGAATTGCGAGAAAAGGAAGTATTAGTGAAGAATTTACGGTTACATCTAGCCAGTACAACTGTAAAGAAAAGGTTTAAATTTTACTTTTTTGCAACTTTCAGACATACAATCTAATCAGTGTCATAGTGGAAGAAAATTTTCACATATATTTATTTAATAATTAACACTGAACACTTCAAAAACTTCAATGTATGGATCAGATATAATAAATTATATAAGGGATAAGGTAATAGAACATAGAACATGCTGCAGTAATTTCGTTCAATACCGGAGGAAGCTATAAAACAAGAATTCGCCAGATCGAAACTCTAATATGGGAATGATGCATGGCGACAAACTCATTAAGAAATGTGTAAACTATCAGCTAAATACAACAGTCTTATCAAACGAATGAACCCTCTAGGTCTTAAATTTGACTTCAAACGAATGAAAGCCTCGAGGTCATAAAAACAGCTTCAAACGAATGAAACCTCTACGTCTTAAAAATGGATTCAAACTAATGGAACCTCTCGGTCTTAAAATGGCTTCAAACGAATGAAACCTCTAGGTCTTAAAAACGGCTTCAAACAAATGAACACTCAAGGTCTTAAAAATGGCTTCAAACGAATGAACCCTCTATGTCTTAAAAATGATTTCAAATGAATGAATCCTCTAGTTCTTAAAAATGGCTTAAATCGAATGAACTATCTCGGTCATTAAAAAAGCTTCAAACGAACCTCGACGTCTTAAAAATGGGTTCAGACTAATGAAACCTCTCGGTCTTAAAAATGGCTTCGAACAAACGAACACTCTAGGTCTTAAAAATGGCTTCAAACTAATGAACCCCTTAGGTCTTAAAAATAGCTTCAAACGAATGAAACCCACTATGTCTTAAAAATGATTTCAAATGAATGAATCCTCTAGTTCTTAGAAATGGCTTCAAAGGAATGAGACCTCTGTTTTAAAAAGGGCTTCAAACAAATGAACCCTCTAGGTCTTGAAAATGGGTTCAGACAATTGAACCACTTAGGTCTTAAAAGTAGCTTCAAAAGAATGAAACCCACTATGGTTTAAACATGATTTTAAATGAATGACTACTCTAGTTTTTTAAAATGGCTTCAAACGAATGAACCATAAAAAATCGACTGCAACCTCTACGTCTTAAAATATCTTCAAACGAATGAAGACTCTAGATTTTAAAAATAGCTTGAAACAAATGAACACTTTAGGTCTTAAAAATGGCTTTAAACAAATGAATCCTCTAGGTCTTAAAAATGGCTTCAAATGAATGAACCATCTAGGTCTTAAAAATGGTTTCAAACGAATGAGCTCTCTAGGCCTTACAAATGGCTGCAAACGAATTAACTCCTTAGGTCTTAGAATAGCTTTAAACAAATGAACGCTCTAGGTCTTAAAAATGGCTTCAAATGAATGAAACCTTTAGGTCTTAAGAGTGTCTTCAAACGAATGAACTCTCTAGGTCTTAAAAATGGATTTAAACAAATGAACTCTCTGGGTCTTAAAAATGGCTTCAAACGAATGAACCCTCTATATCTTAAAAATGGCTTCAAACGAATTAACTCTTTCGGTCTTAAAAATGACTGTAAACGAATGAATACTGTAGGTCTTAAAAATGGCTTGAAATGAATGAACCATGTAGGTCTTAAAAATGGCTTCAAACGAATATACATTCTAGGTCTTAAAAATGACTTCAAACGAACGAATCCTCTAGGTCTTAAAGAAAACTATAATTCATCAGATCCCATAGACCGACGCTACAGAATCACAGAGAACATTATCAAATGAGAAAACCACAGCAGTTGAAGGCATCCAATAACAACAAATCTGACATTGATAGCACATTTAACTTTTAAAAGAAAATAATGGCAAAAGATGTTGACTTTCCACACTACCTTAAGCAAAATCTTATCAATTTACAGTTGAGCTGGCTAGATGTGAGCGTAAATTCTATGTTAACAGTTTCTTTTCTCACACTTCTTGCTCGGGGAATTCCCTTCTGGCTCCATGTGTTCCATTAAATTTAATCTGGAAAAAATTAATTGCAATGTCAATCGGTATCTACTGTCGTCTTGATTACTCTTTCTTCTTCCCGCTCATTATTAATCTTTCTGTTTCTAATTCTTTTACACTCTGTGTCTTATTGGCTTTACTACCTTACATGGGGCAATACCGATTAAAAAAAAATTCTGGAAGAATCCCTGTCAATACTAGAATGATCAGTAACAGTTACTGTGCTTGAGTATCCTATTTTCCTGAACAAATGTTTTACCAGAAATATTTTATAAATGTCAACCGGCAGCAACGTTCATTGTTCGGCCAATGAATACCTAATGTTTCCTATATGGAAACAGTTAATTTTACAATTGCAGTCACTATATTACGGGATACATAAGCTGCTGGTCATAAATAACTTAATGTTGACCATTAATATAAAAATTACATAAGTGAGAAACTGGACGGGTGGTTGAAAGTGGTCGAGGCAAATTCTGTTAACATGGGGTTTTAGATGGTATAGCACAATCAACTGCATAACCCAAGTGTTACTCACCGAGTTTACGAAATTAATTTTAACTTTTTATTTAACTTTAAAATGTAATTTCAAATAATATAACATATTTGACGTGATACAATTTCAAAATGTTGAACCACTATCCAACAACCGAAACATCGCATTTCTATCGTTACTCTATCGCAATTTTCATGGCAAATGTTCTGGTGTGGTAAATTCTTTAATTCCACCAGTTCCGAACTTCTTAGCTAAGACCCGCCACATCAGTCACACTGAGACGAAGCATCCTCATTCATTTCGCATGCCGTTAATAACAACGAAGTTCAATTCGGACAGCTTCCTTCTAAGAACCACTACTTTGTGGAAAAGACTCCTGAGGGGATGCTTCCCCGATCACTATGGTCTTAACTTCTTAAAGTCTAGCGTTAATCGTTATCTTTCCTACATATTCTCATAGACTGTACCTCTTATCTCCATCCTTTAGGGTCATACAAAAGCCTCCGTAAGTAACTCTCTACGTTGGGCCTTGTATTGGGTGAACAATTAGTTAAAAATAGTATTGCAAATTACGAATTTTATTGTTTAACACTTTATTTTCAAGAGTGACAGGAGAACAATAGAGAATTCATAATCGTACGACTTTATTTAAAGACAACAGAAAATTCAGAACCAAACGACTTCATCGAGGTACATCCACAAAATCGGTAAAATATTGGCATACCATGATGAAAAATGCTGCAAACTTAATGAAAACAAATTTTTTATCGTGAAAATCTTCATATTATCATGAAAAGGAAAGATCAAGGTATTTTTTGAATATTAATTAAATTTTTAATTCTTTTTAGAACATATCTCCCAGAGGCTCATATCTCCCAGAGGCTCGAGAATTTCTTCAACAGAAATACTAATGAAGAAGACCAGAGAAGGATCCAAAATGACCTGGATAAATCCTTCAGACATGAATTTGATGTAGTCAAGGCTCGCCAAGTACAAAAATTAAATAGATTGAAAGATCAGAAGGTGACGCATAAGGTCCATCACCCACCAGTGAAAGCAGTAATCAACATCAGCCAATATCAGCTGAGTGCCTCTGAGGAGTCAGTATTGAATAAGGGTCTCAACTTCGCCACAGCCATCAGGCGAGTGCGATACTTGGACATCATTGCCAGAGTTGAGGAGGTAGCCTTGAACATCCCTCAGAGTCAGGCGGATGAACTGAGATGGAAAGTGAGACAGACCTTGGAGAAGGCCAAGCCGCCCAGGTCTAACATAACAAAACTGGAGAGGCTGGCGATCGGATCCCTACAGAGGAACGAAAACATCATCATACTACCGGCTGACAAAGGCAATGCGACTGTAGCGATGGACAAATCAGATTATGCAAGAAAGCTGGAAGACCTCATTAGCATTGGTAGCTACAGTAAAGTAAAAAAGGATCCTACAATGAAAACGGAACGCAAACTATCACAGATACTAATCAAGAACAAGGATCACTTCGCACCTAAGACGTATAGGCATTTTTCGCAGCGTTACACCAAGCTACCTCACATATACGGTCTCCCTAAGATTCACAAAGACGGTATTCCGCTCAGGCCGATTGTTAGTTGCCAAGGCTCTGAGTGCCACCCTCTGTGTCACTTCCTTGTAGATATAATTGACCCATTGATCGGAAAGTCTCCTTCATATGTCCGAAACTCCGCCCACTTCGTGGAAATAATCAAAGATGCTCCCATCCTATCAAACCAGATGGTGAGCTTGGACATGGTGAGTTTGTTCACCAAGGTACCCACAGAGGAGGCACTCTCAGTAGTCAGAGAAAGATTGGCCTCTGACTCATCCCTAGAAGAACGGACCAGTATTCCAATAGATAATCTGATGGAGATGTTGACTTTCTGTACACAAACAACACTTCGGGATGAGATCACACATATATCGACAGGATGAGGGCTTAGCAATGGGATCGCCATTATCACAAGCAATGGCGAATATATACATGGAATACTTTTAGGAAATGGCATTAGAATCTATATCTCTAAATCCAACTCTATGGTTAAGGTACGTAGATGACACCTTCATACTCTGGCCACACCAGGAAGATGTTCAGGTTCTGCTGGACCATGTGAACTCAATAAGACCTTCGATACAGTTCACAATGGAGAAAGAGGGTAACAACACACTACCATTCCTGGATGCTCTGATATCTCGAACAGAGCATGGGTTCAAGACATCCGTATACCGTAAACCGGCATTCACCGGACAGTACCTCAATTTCAACTCCATACAGCGTAAAGAAAGGGATCGTCTGCTGCTTACAACACCGAGCAAAAGTCATAAGTGGCAACCCAGAGACATTAGATAAAGAATTGGTCAGTATAATTAGTACCCTACAACGTAAAAACTACCCTGGGTACATGGCAGCTGCCTCTAAAAAACTGGGATAGGCACAAAAGGAGGACAACAACACTCAGAAAACAGTCTGCCTGCCTTATGTGAAGGGGTTATCAGAGAAAATACAAAAGATCTGCGGTCCATATAACATCAGGACAACCTTCAAAAGCTTGACGACACTTCGAGTAAGACCCCCCATAGAGGAGAACATGACTAAAGACGCTATCCCGTGCAGCTGCTGAAAGGAATATGAAGCGGGGATAGGTAAGGCTTCATGAAAACCAGAAAACTGTAACACGGGGTGAAGTGGAAAAATCAGGCGTGGCTGACCACATGGACAGAGAAGGGAGATCACCGCTCTCTGTGGTATCAGGTTGAGATAATAGACAAAGAACACCATTGGAAAATTCGTGAACTTAAGGAATCAGCACACATGCTAGGCCACAAAAACCTCCTGGCATGAAAATGAATACAATATGGGAACCAGTAATAAGGAGTGCCAGAGAAAACGATAATAACAACAAAAATTGCAATATGAGCTCTGGTAAAAAATAAAATGATAACAGCAAAAAACTTGCAGTATGAGCACTGGTAAAAAATGGTTGCTGAAGACATTATTTTTATAATACCCAGAAATTCATACACAGATGTCCTCAAGGGCACATGGCACAGTGGATAAAGGTGTTGGTTAGATCCACTGACAGGACTCAAAGAGTGTGAGTTCAATATCCTGTTAAGGCAGCGCAGAACTTGCAGTGAGGAGTTAACAGGAGATAACTGACATCCGTTAAACATGGCACGTGGAACTAGTACAGTCTACCCTAGTGAGCGAAATAAAATTCGACATTCCAACCCCCTGAAGAAGGCCGTAGCGTACAAACGTTGTAATGAAAATGGCGACAAAGATGAGGACAATAGTCCGAATAATGTAAATAATGAACTTTCGGGACTTATTCACAAATGAATCAAATTATTTTAGAAATGTAATTTTTAGAAAATCTTGGTAAAAATAATTTTTTACATGTTTTTCATCTCATTTATTAATTTTATGAAAACTCGAGAAATTTAACGAGATAATATCAGTGGCTATAATAGTTAAAAGCAGAACACTGGAGAATTTAAATAATCAATTTTATTTTGTAAAGTCGGAAACTATCTTACCTAAAATCTACTCTGAATCATAAAATAACACACAATAAAACTAAGTCATTATTTAATTAGAGAAAATTTCAAATTTGATTTTATGAATAATATATATTAAGGAAAATATTGGCTTAAGAAATTGAATATTTACAACATTTGTATTCATTTACTTTACAATTTTAATTAGAATAATTTATAAAGTTTGAAATTTTTTAATTTCAGTTTCAATAGTATAACTCTTAGGGAATATTGTTATTAATTAAAACTATATTTACTAATTATATATCGTAAAGGTTATTACAATTTGACGACCTGATTATTTGTAAAAGAATTTTGAATTATTTTTGCATATGTATAAACGTGCCGATTTTTGTAGATACGGTCACCCATATACGACATTATGAGAAAAAATAACTAGTAAATTTAGTGCCAAAATTTTTCTAAAATTCAATAAAACATCAGATTACGGAGAATATTTATTTTATATTTTATATGTGCATTCTCTATCTATCTATCTATCTATCTATCTATCTATCTATCTATCTATCTATCTGTCCTTATTTGAAAGGAAAGCATTTCGCTGCATTATTGAATATGATTTTCACTAGGTGCCAGAGTAACCAGTCAAAAAATAAAGCAGTAATTAATACAAACACTTCTTCATAGCCAAGAGAGTTGAATATTTGTCATTGGCTTCAGTCTTCGGTTTTTGATCACAGATAAAGCCCTAGGACATCAGATTTTTTTTTACGCAGATAAGCGCATTCTCTTTATTTGAGAGAATGGCGTAGTTTATATCCATTAACCTTGTGCAAAACTGCGCAAAGCATGAGGAAAAATGCATAACTTCAAGAGATGGTAGCAACGGAAAAAGCTCTTGCACTATATTATTCTAAATTTAAAAGCAACTGTTATTTATTCAGAATAACAAAGAACGCACATAGAAGTCCTGTTTTTCATAACTCACTGTAATGCCCAGCTTCAGTGCGTATGAAATGTCTTTATTTCCAAGCAATGACTAAAACACTTTCTCCAATAGATGTGCCTGTCCTCCGTCGACACGCTCTAATAAAAATAATTATCCGAACTCATAAAAATATCATTGGGTCATAAAATAAAATATAATATCATATTTTCTCATAAAAAGTCGGTTAGTCTTTGAAGTGAGTCAAATTAGTATCGCGTTGTTAGATATAAATATACGGGTTAATGTCTCCTTGGTAACAAAAATAGTTGCAATTTTCCCATCGATACCAAGCGGGCAAAAATTTTATCCATTCTGGAAAAATGATGTAACATAAGATCTATCGATCTATCGATCGATCGATCGATCTATCTATCTATCTATCTATCTATCTATCTATCTATGTGTGTATATAGATACTACTGGTTTGTGTGTATTATATAATCTCGTTTTTTTTGTTTTTTTGTTTTTTATTTTTTTGCGTATGCATCG